TGAGACTTCCTTGGGTTTGATCAAGGGATAATTGCTATATTGCTATAATTACGTTTCCAAAGATTAGCAGTGACATGTGAGGGTTTCAAGAGCTAAGTGATGACAATGTCTTGTCGCGGGGACTACTGTATGGTAATCGCGAAGATCTAATGAAGCAAATATCAGGTAATAGATATGCGCTCACGCCAGTGCTGACAAGTATTGGTAGTACCTTCAAGATCTAATGAAGCCAATATCAGGTAATAGATATGCGCTCACGCCAGTGCTGACATGTAGTACCTTCAAGATCTAATGAAGAAAATATCAGTTAATAGATATGCGCTCACGCCAGTGCTGACATGTATTGGTAGTACCTTCAAGATCTAATGAAGCCATTATCAGGTAATAGATATGCGCTCACACCAGTGCTGACATGTATTGGTAGTACCTTCAAGATCTAATGAAGCAAATATCAGGTAATAGATATGCGCTCACACCAGTACTGACATGTATTGGTAGTACCTTCAAGATCTAATGAAGCAAATATCAGGTAATAGATATGCGCTCACGCCAGTGCTGACATGTATTGGTAGTACCTTCAAGATCTAATGAAGCAAATATCAGTTAATAGATATGCGCTCACACCAGTGCTGACATGTAGTACCTTCAAGATCTAAAGAAGCAAATATCATTTAATAGATATGCGCTCACACCAGTGCTGACAAGTATTGGTAGTACCTTCAAGATCTAATGAAGCAAATATCAGGTAATAGATATGCGCTCACGCCAGTGCTGACATGTATTGGTAGTACCTTCAAGATCTAATGAAGCAAATATCAGGTAATAGATATGCGCTCACTCCAGTGCTGACAAGTATTGGTAGTACCTTCAAGATCTAATGAAGCAAATATCAGTTAATAGATATGCGCTCACACCAGTGCTGACAAGTATTGGTAGTACCTTCAAGATCTAATGAAGCAAATATCAGGTAAAAGATATGCGCTCACACCAGTGCTGACATGTATTGGTAGTACCTTCAAGATCTAATGAAGCAAATATCAGTTAATAGATATGCGCTCACACCAGTGCTGACATGTAGTACCTTCAAGATCTAATGAAGCAAATATCAGTTAATAGATATGCGCTCACGCCAGTGCTGACATGTAGTACCTTCAAGATCTAATGAAGCAAATATCAGTTAATAGATATGCGCTCACGCCAGTGCTGACATGTATTGGTAGTACCTTCAAGATCTAATGAAGCAAATATCAGGTAATAGATATGCGCTCACACCAGTGCTGACATGTATTGGTAGTACCTTCAAGATCTAAAGAAGCAAATATCAGGTAATAGATATGCGCTCACACCAGTGCTGACAAGTTTTGGTAGTACCTTCAAGATCTAATGAAGAAAATATCAGTTAATAGATATGCGCTCACGCCAGTGCTGACATGTAGTACCTTCAAGATCTAATGAAGAAAATATCAGTTAATAGATATGCGCTCACGCCAGTGCTGACATGTAGTACCTTCAAGATCTAATGAAGCAAATATCAGTTAATAGATATGCGCTTACGCCAGTGCTGACATGTAGTACCTTCAAGATCTAAAGAAGCAAATATCAGTTAATAGATATGCGCTCACGCCAGTGCTGACATGTATTGGTAGTACCTTCAAGATCTAATGAAGCAAATATCAGGTAATAGATATGCGCTCACACCAGTGCTGACATGTATTGGTAGTACCTTCAAGATCTAAAGAAGCAAATACCAGGTAATAGATATGCGCTCACACCAGTGCTGACAAGTTTTGGTAGTACCTTCAAGATCTAATGAAGCAAATATCAGTTAATAGATATGCGCTCACGCCAGTGCTGACATGTATTGGTAGTACCTTCAAGATCTAATGAAGCAAATATCAGGTAATAGATATGCGCTCACTCCAGTGCTGACAAGTATTGGTAGTACCTTCAAGATCAATTGAAGCAAATATCAGTTAATAGATATGCGCTCACACCAGTGCTGACATGTATTGGTAGTACCTTCAAGATCTAAAGAAGCAAATATCAGGTAATAGATATGCGCTCACGCCAGTGCTGACATGTATTGGTAGTACCTTCAAGATCTAATGAAGCAAATATCAGGTAATAGATATGCACTCACACCAGTGCTGACATGTATTGGTAGTACCTTCAAGATCTAATGAAGCAAATATCAGTTAATAGATATGCGCTCACACCAGTGCTGACAAGTTTTAGTAGTACCTTCAAGATCTAATGAAGCAAATATCAGTTAATAGATATGCGCTCACGCCAGTGCTGACATGTATTGGTAGTACCTTCAAGATCTAATGAAGCAAATATCAGGTAATAGATATGCGCTCACTCCAGTGCTGACAAGTATTGGTAGTACCTTCAAGACAAGTATTGGTAGTACCTTCAAGATCTAATGAAGCAAATATCAGGTAATAGATATGCGCTCACACCAGTGCTGACATGTATTGGTAGTACCTTCAAGATCTAATGAAGCAAATATCAGTTAATAGATATGCGCTCACACCAGTGCTGACATGTATTGGTAGTACCTTCAAGATCTAATGAAGCAAATATCAGTTAATAGATATGCGCTCACGCCAGTGCTGACAAGTTTTGGTAGTGCCTTCAAGATTTAAAAATTATGCACCAAAAAGGAACGTTATTCCGAACCAATGATGTCTTATGGTTCGACCAATGGATATTCTGGCGGTTACTGGCGTAAAACTAAACTCACTCACTCACTACAAGTGGCTTTCAAATGTCAAACCGACTTGAAGAAGTACGGATTACATAAATAAAATCAGAAATCTCAGTCTGGTATCTGGTCTCTCTGTGATGAAAATCCTTTTAAAGGAAATCATTGACCTCTGTTTCCGAAAGCTGCTTACTCTACAACCGAGTCGCTGATTTTGTTGCCCGGTTATTTCTACACATACGTCATCAAATCTGGATATATAAGGCGCCCTTCACAGAACGCTCGCCCACCACTCTGGTCCTCCAGCCATTCCGTCTCGCTCTTTTGCTTCTGTTAATTGTTTCAGAAGCAATAACGTAATCAATGTTTTGGGACCAACAATGCAATCAGTGTTTCTGGACTCACACTGCAATCAAGTTTCAAGACGTTCTGCAACCTTAGTTCAGGTCCAGGTAATTACTCTCTGAATAATTAAAACTTTGTAATTGTAACTGTCAAAGAGGTTGTTCAGCACCTGAAAACCTCACAATTAGGGGGATCAATAGGTTAGCAATTGTATGGCCCGAAACACCGAAGACCGTTACAATTCGTTTGACCGAATTATTTTTGGACACGGGGGGCCAGGAGGTGTCTTAGAAACATAACGTATGGACACTGGTGACCAAGAACATGTGATTGCTTCTGAGGAATGTCAAGATTGGTTCTAAGGAATGTCAAGAATGTGACAGTTATTCGGATACTGTCAGTGTTTTAATCATAAGAGTGTTTCACAATGATTCACAAGAAATGAGCGGATCACTGTTTTTTGACAAAAGTAAAAAAAATCGCAACTTTACATTAATTTCTTTTGATTTTCATTTTTAACTGAAAATCGATCTTTGCCTGAATCATTAATAAGACGGGCGATAGTTTTGGTGCTTCAAATTAATTGACACTTTATAGCTTCGAGGCGGACAGCAATGACGAGTCAAGTGACACCAAGCGTTCTGTGATAGTACCAAACTTCACGACGCTCACATTATAGGGACAAGTTTAATATTTATGGCAAAATTTTATTATATATTTGTCCATAATTGCCTCTTTCGATGGCATGACCTATGCCTTCGAGGATAAAGTGTTTTTGGTTTTTTTGCTTGTGGGGAACATAACGAGCAGGGTTGGCAACATTTAGTCGGTAGTTGACATTTCCATCACTGCTAAAAGGATTTGATGGCTCTTAAATCAGCACACTTCTGGCGTCGTAGTAATCATCGTATCCTTATTACAGTTCGCGAATCATATTCCTAGAAATGGCCTTTCGTGTTTTAGATTAAATATTAAAAAGTAACCCGTGGTATTTGTAACTGCATTGCATTAGTAGTTACAAACACATTGTACAGCTTGACCTGATACTAATGAAACACTTAAAAACTGACATGTTCTTCATCTCTACATGGCCATACAATAGCGCTACTTTGTTACGTTGTGCTTCTCAAATTGGTAATACAATAAACTTGAGTTCTGCCAGTATATCGCACCATCCAAGCGCGTTACATCGAGAGGTTGTTGGGCTGGATATGACATTACTAAACTGTGTAACAATCCCTGTATAAAACTGTATGTGGGAAATGAGACGGCGATATATATCTTTAACGTCCTCTTTATACAGCTGCGGTGGGTTTCAACTTCATCGAGGGCGATGGGGTAGCCTAGTGGTTACAGCGTTCGCTCGTCACGCCGAAGACCCGGGTTCGATTCCGCACATGGGTACAATGTGTGAAGCCCATTTCTGGTGTCCCCCGCCGTGATATAGCTGGAATATGGCTAAAAGCGGCGTAAAGCTGAACTCACTCACTCACTTACTCACTCAACTGCATCGATCCCTGTATACCGCTGTATGTGGAAAACATGAAGGTGAGGTTCCTTTAATGTCTCCTGACTATAGTCCTTTCCAATAAGTTCTTATCTCCCCTTCCATGTGTTATCTCCCTTTATCAAGGACACTTCCGGAGATGTTTTCAGTTCAAAATGGCGTCGATAGCAGAGAAACAAGGCGGGAAAACTCAAGACGTGAATCTGAATTTTGATAAACTGAATGTGCGTGAACTTAAGACCTACTTACGGAATCACGGAGAACACGTTTCAGGGAATAAGTCTGACTTAATTTTGCGTGCCAAAGGTGTACGTGATCTTGGCAAACGATCGATTGAAGATGTCAATACATACGACGTGGTCAGCGTGAGACAAAGACGATTTGAGAAGTTTCTGTCACCTCTCGGGGAACTTTTACCAGACCCACTACGCTTGAAAATGGCTGGGATAGCAGTGTTGAGCTTATGCCATCATTTAGTTCAAGTGATCTGTATAATTATTTGGTTTTGAGCAAGCAGCGGACACTAGACACTGACCCAAACAACGCTAAACGCCAGTTGAAAGCTAAAGTGTACTATGAAGATAGACACGTTCATTCAGTCCGATATCACCACATATCCGCGGACTGTTCTCATTGTTATGTCAATGCCAAAGTGATTCCTTCCATACCAACTCAGAATATGAAACAGAAACCAGATTATGATGTGTGGGTGTCCTTGTCAAAGGTTACAGGCCGGGTACATGCTGCTGGTTGCAACTGCACTGCCGGGTAAGTAGATCTAATAAATTACCGATAATCATATTATCTGGCAGATCTAAAGTATGAATTCCATTTACTGAAAACAAACTATACTTGTGTATATACGATTGTGATGAATGTTCTGGACTTGATTCAACTTTGAATGTATAACCAAATAACGTTTGAGCGTTCGTTGTCGGCATATGTAATACCAGGGAGACTCTATAAGGTTGTAGAGTATCCCTGGTAATACAGATGTGTTCCATTTATGTGTGCGGGACCGTATCCAAGTAAAGCGTATGCCTACAGTGTATTGTTTTACCTCATTTGATATGGAATTAGGTTTTTTTTTTTGTACATTTTCAATTTGACATTCAGTGAACAATTTATCTGTTTCAGTGAAGGAGAATCTTGCAACCATGTCGCTGCTGTCCTGTATGCTTTGGTTGACATCTCAGAAAAGAAACTTGAGGGCTTACATGCATCTACTTCACAGGAATGCAAATGGAACCAGCCACGAAAACGTAAATTGAGTCCTGTTAAATCACAAGATATGACATTCACAAAACACAAGTGGATAGAACATAAAAAGACAACAACTATAAGGCAAGATGCTACTAATGCTCCTGATAAATCGATGGTTAAACCCATAAATGTGGACAGATTTGCTCCAAAACTCTGTGAACATTTTCCACATGCAGGGTGGTTACTGACTCAAGAGTCTGTTGTCAATATGACTGAGGAATCCCATGTATCAGTACCTCCCCTCCATTCAGTTGATTTCAACTATGCAGACACCTGTGATTTGAAAAATGAAGATTGTATCAGGTATTTTTCAGAGTATTTCAGTGCCTTGTCCATCTCAAAAGAAGACTGTGTAACAATTGAGAAGAACACACGTGGACAAGCCAACAATAACATGTGGAGCTCAGCAAGGGAAGGGCGATTAACCTCTTCCAATTTTGGCCTTGTCGGTAAACTGAAAACATCTACATGCCTTGATAATGCTGTAAAGACCATTTTTGCATATTCACCATTTGATAATGATGCTCTGAGATGGGGACGCACTCATGAGTCGGCTGCAAGGAGAAAATATGCAAATCTGATGAAGAAACATGATGTGAATGCAAAGGTTGTTACATGTGGTTTCATGGTGCATCAGGACTTTCCTCATCTTGGATCCAGTCCTGATGGTGTTGTTCACATTGGAAATGAAACTGGACTTCTTGAAATTAAGTGTCCTTACAAGTGGCGGCTTTCCACAGTACACCAGGCAGCGGAAGATCCTCAATTCTGTTCTTCGCTCAAGGAAGGAGAAATTAAATTGAAAGTTGGCCACACATACTATTACCAAATACAAGGACAAATGGCTCTATCCCAAATGAACTGGTGTGATTTTTTCATATGGACTCTGAAGGATTGTCATGTGGAAAGAATACACTTTGATTCAAGATTCTGGGAGGGCTGCCTCTCTCTACTCAATGACTTTTATATCAAAGCCATTCTGCCAGAGCTTTTCACAACTCGTGTGAAACGAGGAAAGCGTTTGCATCCTGTGTAAGGACATGAACGACTTTAAATGTACACATACACTATGTCCATTATATCATGTTAAAACCAGAGTACTGTGGTTGGTTTAGATTCTTTCCTTAAAACTACATGTATAGTGACTATTCACTTCAAACATTTTCATTCAAGCTTGACAAAATGTATGAATTGATAACACATACTATTCAAAGTTTCGTTCACTGAGTGGTTTTATGTAAATTTTACTACTTATGTGAATTTTAGTTCTTAAGCTATTTCACATTTCAATAATAATGTAAACATTTTCCTGTCTTTTCCCCCAGGTCTTTGTTTGTGAAATACTTCATATCATTACTTGCAATGTCACTCAGTGAAATGATTACCATTACAAATGTTGAAGTAAGGGCTTTATGACATTAAAACGTATCTGTTATAAGTGAGTCTGTGTTTCATTTCTATTACCAACTGTTAATTTTAGTTATTGACAGTTGTAGAATTCAACTGTTCAATCCCTGGCTTGGAAAGCCTAATCAATTAAGGGTTGTTACTTCAGTGTACATGCTGTTTCCCAGATGCTGGCACTGAAAGTGATGAAGAAATAACTTGTTTCCTAAGTAAGCTTAATGTGTCTTAGGTCAGTGTGTGAGTGAGTTATATATGTATGTTCAAGTGTCTCAGTGACTGACTGAGCTATTATTACTATTATTAATTAGATGGAAGTCCGACCTGATAAAAGCAGAAAGGCACACACAAGACCTATGGGTGCATGAAATGTTTACAACAGAAAAGTTCTGTCCTAATACAGTAAGTAAGTGAGGGAAGGGTGCAATGCTAAAAGCAGCCCATAATTCATCGGTATAAGCCAGAGCTCTCAATTTTCACATAGTACCAGGTGTGTCCTGTCGTAAATGTCAAATCAGAGATAACTGAAATGCTGTTGAAAAATGTAAAAGTCAGTTTTATTTGCACCAATACATGAATCACATAGTATGATTGAATAGTTTAACCAGGAGACATTGGTAAGAATAACATGAACCGGACTAGTTACATAATCATGATTATAGATGCAAACTAATATTCCAGTGTTTAAATTAGAATTCCTTTGGACCACATGTTATGGTCTGAATCAGACAGCTGATGGTTGAGTTTGGATGATATACCTTAATAATCTTGGCGGCGAGTTTCTATTTCAGCGTACCCATTATACAGCAGTGAATGATGAACAAATTACGCGGATGCTCTGGCATAGCATGCTCTGGTATAGCATGCTCTGTATACAGCTGTATGTGGATAATGTGATGGTGAAGTTCTACGTTAATTTCTTCTGTTAACAGCTCTGTTTGGACGACTGTGGACAGTGCACGTGGAAAAAATGGCTGTGACATCCGACTTGAATGTCTCCAATACACAGCAGTACCTGGAAGAGATGACGTTGAGGTTTCATGTTAACGTCCCTTGTATACAGCTACGTTGTGAATACACGACAAGGTGCTACGGTAACGCACGTCTATATACAATTGTGTGGGGAATACACGAGATTCTACTTTAACGATCTCTACTTTCATCTGTTTCGGAAAAACGTGTAAGCGACATTTTATTTTGACGGCCCATATGTACAGCTGCTTGGGGAACCCGGATGGCTATGTTCTGCTATGGACATGACCAGATCGGGATATTTGGTTCTCCACAGAATACCACTAGTGCGAAGACAAATCGATTTCTATTCCCCGTAATTGGAAGAAGAGTTGGGACAAACATTGTTCCACATAGTACATAAGTGACGCTCGGGGATTAGGCTAGGCATCTGTCTATTACGTACCAGTGTTTTCTTCGCATAGCAACAATGGAACCGGTTCTGATTTGGAATACATTTACACGTCCATTGATGATCAACTGGAGACAGTTAGACGGACATCGTCTGCAAGATGTACCTCACTGACAGTACCGATCCCTAACTTAAGCCTTCACGTCTCACACATACTCAGTCAGATTTAAACCAAGTTTGTGCTGATTGAGTTCCTGTGGAGAAGATTGTGTTTGAAAAAAAAGCTGCATGGCTGTGATACCTTGCGTCTTGAGTAGGAGTTGAGTGGTCACTTTGGAAGGTATTTAGGGGAGATCGTATAGATCGTGTTTGGTTTGAGAAAGGAGTGGGTTGGGACTGATTTGAGAGGAGTAGGGGACTGACTTACGAGTGGTAAGGGTCTGAGGAAGAATTGAACACGTACTGAGCCTGGTCCGTGTAAGGATTGAGTGTGGACTGAGTTGTGTCTAAGTAGCAACCGAGAAGTGTCTGAGTAGCAATTGAGTATGGTCTGTGTTGGGTCTGAGTAGCAACCGAGTAGTGTCTGAGTAGCAATTGAGTATGGTCTGTGTTGGGTCTGAGTAGTAACTGAGTAGTGTCTGAGTAGCAATTGAGTATGGTCTATGTTGGGTCTGAGTAGCAACTGAGTAGGGCCTGTGTAGCAATTGAGTATGGTCTGTGTTGGGTCTGAGTAGTAACTGAGTAGTGTCTGAGTAGCAATTGAGTATGGTCTGTGTTGGGTCTGAGTAGTAACTGAGTAGTGTCTGAGTAGCAACTGAGTATGGTCTATGTTGGGTCTGAGTAGTAACTGAGTAGTGTCTGTGTAGCAATTGAGTATGGTCTATGTTGGGTCTGAGTAGTAACTGAGTAGTGTCTGAGTAGCAATTGAGTATGGTCTGTGTTGGGTCTGAGTAGCAACCGAGTAGTGTCTGAGTAGAGAATGAACAATTAAGACCGAATTGGGAATCAGTGGACGTATAAGAATGAAGACTGCGTGGTGCTTGAGTGGGATCTGATAGCCTGTGTGTGGACTGCGTGGTGCTTGAGCTGGATCTGATAGCCTGTGTGTGGACTGCGTGGTGCTTGAGTGGGATCTGATAGCCTGTGTGTGGACTGCTGGTGCTTGAGTGGGATCTGATAGCCTGTGTGAGGACTGAGTGGAGACTAAACAGGGATTGAGTCGGGACTGTGTAGGGTGTGGATTGAGTCAAGATGAGTTGGCATTCCCAGTCGAAGTCTACATTATGACAGCACTTTAAATTGAGCAGACATCCATTTGGATTATTTGCCAACCTCATCCACCTTCAAATGGTGGACACCAGACTACGATAGCGACTGAGTATGACAGAGTAAGGACTAAGTGGTAAAATAGAGGCTTGAAACATTTGTTTTGGATTACACTTTCTCAGTAAATAGAGGCTGATTAGAGACTGGGAAGGCACTGAGCAGAGACTGAGCAGGGACTGTGCAGTGACTGACTGGGAAGCTGATTGTGAGACTGAGAAGGGTCTGAGTAGGGACTGGATTGGGACTGTGAAGAGGCTGAGCAGGGACTGTGAAGAGGATGTTTAGAGACTGAGAAGGGTCTGAGTAGGGACTGGGTAGGGACTGTGAAGAGGCTGAGCAGGGACTGTGAAGAGGATGTTTAGAGACTGAGAAGGGTCTGAGTAGGGACTGGATTGGGACTGTGGGAGAGCTGAGGCTAAGAAGGATGTTTAGAGACTGAGGAGGGACTGAGTGGGAACTGGATAGGGACTGTGAAGTGGCTGTTTAGAGACTGAGAAGGGTCTGTGTAGGGACTGTGTAGGGACTTGGTTGTTTAGAGACAGAGAAGGGTCTGAGTGGGAACTGGATAGGGACTGTGAAGAGGCTGTTTAGAGACAGAGAAGGGACTAAGTAGGAACTGGATACGGACTGAAGAGGATGTTTAGAGACTGAGAAGGGTCTGAGTGGGAACTGAATAGGGACTAGGCTGTTTAGAGACTGAGAAGGGACTGAGTGGGAACTGGATAGGGACTGTGAAGTGGTTGTTTAGAGACAGAGAAGGGTCTGAGTGGGAACTGGATAGGGACTGTGAAGAGGCTGTTTAGAGACAGAGAAGGGTCTAAGTGGGAACTGGATACGGACTGAAGAGGCTGTTTAGAGACTGAGAAGGGTCTGAGTGGGAACTGAATAGGGACTAGGCTGTTAGAGACTGAGAAGGGTCTGAGAAGGGACTGGATTGGGACTGTGAAGAGGCTGAGCAGGGACTGTGAAGAGGATGTTTAGAGACTGAGAAGGGTCTGAGTAGGGACTGGGTAGGGACTGTGAAGAGGCTGAGCAGGGACTGTGAAGGGTCTGAGTGGGGACTGAATAGGAACTGTGAAGAGGCTGTTTAGAGACAGAGAAGGGACTAAGTAGGAACTGGATACGGACTGAAGGGGCTGTTTAGAGACTGAGAAGGGTCTGAGTGGGAACTGAATAGGGACTAGGCTGTTTAGAGACTGAGAAGGGACTGAGTGGGAACTGGATAGGGACTGTGAAGTGGCTGTTTAGAAACTGAGAAGAGTCTGTGTAGGGACTGGGTAGGGACTTGGTTGTTTAGAGACAGAGAAGGGTCTGAGTGGGAACTGGATAGGGACTGTGAAGAGGCTGTTTAGAGACAGAGAAGGGTCTAAGTGGGAACTGGATACGGACTGAAGAGGCTGTTTAGAGACTGTGAAGGGTCTGAGTGGGAACTGAATAGGGACTAGGCTGTTAGAGACTGAGAAGGGTCTGAGAAGGGGCTGGATAGGGACTGTGAAGAAGCTGTTAAGAGACAGAGAAGGGACTAAGTAGGAACTGGATACGGACTGAAGAGGCTGTTTAGAGACTGAGAAGGGTCTGAGTAGGGACTGGGTAGGGACTGTGAAGAGGCTGAGCAGGGACTGTGAAGAGGATGTTTAGAGACTGAGAAGGGACTGAGTGGGAACTGGATAGGGACTGTGAAGGGGCTGTTTAGAGACTGAGAAGGGTCTGTGTAGGGACTGGGTAGGGACTTGGTTGTTTAGAGACTGAGAAGGGACTGGATAGGGACTGTGAAGAGGCTGTTTAGTGACTGAGAAGGGTCAGAGTAGTGAGTGGGTAAGGACTGTGAAGAGGATATTTAGAGACTGAGAAGGGTCTGAGTAGGGACTGGGTATGGACTGAGAAGGGTCTGAGTGGGAACTGGATAGGGACTGTGAAGAGGCTGTTTAGAGACTGAGAAGGGACTAAGTGGGAACTGGATACGGACTGAAGAGGCTGTTAGAGACTGAGAAGGGTCTGAGTAGGGACTGGATAGGGACTGTGAAGAGGCTGAGCAGGGACTGTGAAGAGGATGTTTAGAGACTGAGAAGGGTCTGAGTAGGGATTGGGTAGGGACTGTGGAGAGGCTGAGCAGGGACTGTGAAGGGTCTGTGTAGGGACTGGGTAGGGAGTTGGTTGTTTAGAGACAGAGAAGGGTCTGAGTGGGAACTGGATAAGGACTGTGAAGAGGCTGTTTAGAGACAGAGAAGGGTCTAAGTGGGAACTGGATACGGACTGAAGAGGCTGTTTAGAGACTGAGAAGGGTCTGAGAAGGGACTGGATAGGGACTGTGAAGAGGCTGAGCAGGGACTGTGAAGGGTCTGAGGCGGGACTGAATAGGGACTGTGAAGAGGCTGTTTAGAGACAGAGAAGGGTCTGAGTGGGAACTGGATACGGACTGAAGAGGCTGTTTAGAGACTGAGAAGGGTCTGAGTGGGAACTGAATAGGGACTAGGCTGTTAGAGACTGAGAAGGGTCTGAGAAGGGACTGGA